CTTCAGCTGAGAGACAGCATTTCAACACTGAGAAATGAAAAGGCATAATGGCACCACTGGCAACGCCAAATAATTTACGTCCCTTTACATCGGCAAATGGTTTTAAGGTTTGGCAACGTGAGTTTATAACAAAAAGTGCTAGAGGTGACATGTCCGTTACCTTCAGACTGGCTTCTGGATTTTATTGCCATATCATAGTAAGTACATCTACCTGTATTATCAATAAGTTTCACTACATTGTTTTCTCATATTAACAATTCTGGACCCCTTAGAGACCTAACCATTAGGAGCCAGAGAGGTCCATGGGCAGTTTCTCTCTTCCTAAGAGGTCATCTCTTACAATATTCCTCAGAGACTTGCTGAGTATTTTAAGAGATGTATAAAACTTGCTTCTGAATTTTATTCATATTTCACCTTTTAAACTAAAGGCATCTTAACCTTATTCTTTTTTATTCAAAGTCCAAATAGCCATTATTATTATAAAGCCAATTGATTCATGTTTTCAATTTTGTCTAATTTGTAACCCATTTTTAAAACCAGTAAAATGCTAATAGTAATTTGCTGACATTTCTTTTCAAGTTCCAGGCATTTCTTAGCCTATATATTTGTTAGATCACTAAACTAAAAAATTATCAATTATGGAATTTACCTTAAAATATTATTTTGACACCATAAAACATCTGTGTCCTCAAAAAATTCAATACTTAAATAGTACAGAAAAGCCTTTTTTAAATGCCTTTGTCTCCTCCCAGGCTAGCTGCTCCCAGAAGACTGATGGTGGCAGGTGCAGTCCCTTCTCTTCCTCCCTGGCAATTGGTTCTGCTCTCCATCACCACAAATTCAAGATCAGCAGGGAAAGTTCAAACTGTTCTTTAGCAACAGGTAGTCAATCACTTATTTCACACTAAGACAGGAAGGACTGTCTATTAAGTATCTCTGGAGGTCTGCCAATAGCATTGAAGTCACTTTCAGTCTGGAGAATAGCCACAGTTCTTTAATATTGAAGACGTAAATATGGAAAATTCGTCAAACTAATAATATTAAATAGAAGCTTTGTCGCCTTAAAAAATTAAGTGGTTGGATCAGATATTACAAAGCCCATATTTCAAGTAAAGTTTACAAGGTGCTGTCTCTAATTTAAGAAACTGAGTTCTGTAGTGAATGAAAACATATTATGTCTAAAGAGTAGTTATTGCATGACAAAATGGTGCTATTTATTTTGAAAGGCAATTAAGATGTTTCCTGTGACAGAAAAATATATAGATTATTTACATTAAATTACATATTACCTATCTGAGGAAGTTCATTAACAATAAATGTATTCCAAAGAGAAGCACTTTGCAAAACTCTTTAAATTGCGGGGAGGGGGGTGTCCAGGTGATTAATTTCTCCCTTTTAGTTCTGCCTTGAGTAAGCACTCAAAGAGATATCTTGTGAAGAGTACATCTACACTATAATTTGTTTTTGCAAAGAATTGCTGCCTGAATTCTTGAACTACCAAACTCAAGAAATAGTCACCAATTAAATCAACAAATCCTTAATCATTTAGCATAGAGCATTGGATGAACCTCCTTTATTGAACAAGAAAATGTCCTGCTATTTTCGGCTATTCTAGTTGTTTTTTTAAAAAAACATATATCCTAGGTAAAGGCATTTGCAAAGAAGTCACAGCTTCAATCTATTGGGAGGATAGGAGAGCTTACTAAAAAATTGACTTAAAAACACAATTTAAGTTTTAGACTAATGAAAACTTAGCTCAATTGGTAGTTCTTAAGAACCTTTGTAGTGGGGAGAGTAACTCAAAAAGTATTACATAAGTGACAGGCCACACCTCCAAAATGTCTAAATTACATTCTCTTTGTCAAACTCTACTGCATTTTAAATAAATTCTAAGTTTTTTTAAAATATTTTAATATATGCTGATATTTGTTGAAAGAAAATTAACTTTTTGTTTTTTGGATATTGTTGTGAAAGATTTTCCACATTCTTAAATAGGACTTCATTGTGTTTAGTTAAATTTTGTTCAGAAAGACCCATTTCTGACCTAATAATGAAAATCAGTGAAAAAATATAGCTCACTCTAATTGTACTGACAGCAAACGTTGCTGAAACACGTCTCTATTCATTTAGTGAGGGATATTATATATACTCTATATACATATATGGGCTAGCTATTTTTCGCAAGGTAGCACAGGTGCTCTTTGTTATTTAGGCTCCAGCTTGTTAGAAAACCAGTCCTATCCATTCCTTGACTCTTGGACGTTAAATTGGCAGAGGATTGTAAATTTATCAAATAAATGTATGGCTTAAAATCCATTCCAGAACATTCAAATAATTTTCCACAAAAAATCTAAAACTGCTGTTAGAAAATACTCGAATTTGTTATGTAATTCCATAAGCTTTTACTTTATTCCTAAAGAGCAGAAAACAGCAAAACAAGAGAGGAGCAGCAGACCTGATTCGTTTGGTATGTTAAAGTTAACACACCTTATTAACACCTTATACCTAAATTTTCAAATGCACCGAGTGGAGAGAGGCTGAACTACCATTGTCTCTGGAGATGATATACTTGAGGCCAAAAATGTAAATGTCTGTGTATGTGTGTTACCGTTTTTATTTTCGTCTTGACCTTCTGACTAAAATTCTTCCATTTCTTTTAAATTATGGTACAAACAGTAAGTATTTCTCTCTAGAAAACCGCTCAACTTCTTTTGTTAAGCTGCCTTGTATGTGTTTCACCGTCTGCCTTCCCATCCTCATGGTATGAGGGTCAGGAATGAGTATGCTTTCCTCGCAGGAAACATGGGTCTGAATGCCACTCTTGCCTGAGCAATAGCGAATATTCCAACCTGGGATTCCCAGGGTGTGTACCCCTGCAACTCCCCTGGGATCCACATACTGAGGGTTACACCCATCAGCATGAAGGAAAAGACAGTCAGGCGATAGCCCAAGTGCCTACTAAAGATTAGGGCTCTACTGTCATACCCCCATCTAGAGAGGAGGAGGTCCAAGAAACAACCCCTACCCCCGGGTGAGGAAGGTCGCACCGCGGAGACTGACACGATCGAAAAGGGAAGGCCGCCGGCAACCCCCCACCCTCATCAGGTAGCGGCGGGGACCCAGCAACAAGCGGACTGGGGTCGGCCTCCTTCTGGGGGGCCCTCCGCCCCCGTCAAGGCCCCGCCCCAGACCGCCCCGCCCCCAGCTTCGTCCCAAACCCACGGCAGGCTGGTCAGCGCACGCGCGTCTGTGCTCCCATCCACCGCGCCCTCCAAGGCGAAGCGCTCCGGCCTAGACGACGCAGCGCGAAAGTGTGTGCTGGCGGGGGCGGGAGGGATGCTCCCAGTGTGCGTGAAAAAGGCGCGTGTGGGAGAGCACCTCCCGGTGACCGCCTAGACTCCATTTTATTTCCTCGGGAACTGAGGGGCAGGCAGGGGACCAGCTGAAGGGCGGGGTTCCTCCCGGCAAGGGGTGAGCGAGACCGTTAGGCTGGAACACCCGGAGAGGGTCCTGGCAGCTCTGGGCCGCCACCCGCGCGGCAATAAAAGCCTCTCGCGGCTTCCCGCCCAGCCAGCCTCGCTCTGATTGGTCGCCATGGGAGGGATCCGAGTAGGCTGGAGGCTGCGGCCGAGCGCTGTTCTCGTGCAGCCCGGGGAGGGGGCGTGCTGGGTTCTCCCAGGCCCGCCCTGCGCGCTCCCCAAGCCAGGCTCTGCCGCCTAAGGCAGTTCCAGCGGCACCTGGCAGTGGCGACCGCAACACACAACCTCCTCCACCCTGCTTTCCTCGGGTACCCAGCACACGCCCCCCGCACAGAATGTCCTCCCACCCCACCCAGCTCTCTGCAGCCCCTGCTCCTTTTCTTCCCCTTCTCCATCAGCGCCAAATATCAAATCCTGCGGTGGGACAGGGGAAGCCGCTGGAGGGGAGGGTGGGAGTGAGCACACACACACAAATCTATCAGGGAGGCCAGAATGGAAATACCTAAAATGAAATAAACCTCCCTCCCGACCGCCGAGGTTCTCTGGGCGATGGCTCAGCCTCCGCCGCCCGCGGCAGCATCAATACTGTCTTCTTCCCAGTTCCCTATTGTTTGCACTTTGCAAAGATCAGGAACCTCGCCCAAAGAAAGGAGACTAGGGTGAGGCGTTTTGGGTGGCTACCTGCCATTCTTATCTCGCACCGTGCGACACAGGGCTCTCGGTGCGTGTGAAGGCACACGCGCGCACACACGCGCACACACCAGGCAGCCTGGATCACGCCCTCCTCGCCCTCCGCCCCTCTGCACTTCCTCCTGTCAAAACGCGGCGCTCGACCCTCCCATCCCTCCGAGCTCCGGGCCGAGAGCAGGCTTTGCAACTAACCAGCAATTTGGCAAATGAAAAACTAACGTCATATTGACGGCTGTGTAACAACGGCCACAGAGCCCTGAGATTCGGCCCATGTCGCCCCATTTTACAAACCGTTATTCGGCCCGGGGCGGGGGGGGGGGGGGAGGGGCGAAGGCAGCGAGCCCCACTTTATTAAACCAGGCGAGATAACAATCAGGGGCGGTTGCCCCGGCCTTATTGTTCACTCTTGCCGGAGCCCGAGCTGACAAGACCCTACCCAGCGGAATTCGAGCCTGTGCCGCGGCATCCCCCGCCCCGCCGCCCGCCTTCGGGAAAGGAGCGCTGCCCATCAGCCGCACGGCAGCAGCATCCACGGGAGCAGACCGCTCCACTCCCAGCGCCGCGAGCACACAAAGTGGGAAGGGCGGGCGCGCTGGTGGGCTGCCCGGCGCTCGCTGCGCGGGGAGGTAGCCCGGGTCCAGCGCAGCCGGGGAGGGCGCAGGGTTCCGCCGGGTAGCAAGGGCGATGCGCTCCTTCCTCAGCTTCACGAAAATGACCACCTTTAGCATTCCACGTAAAACCACCCCAAATAACAGTGTTCCTCGCAGGGAGAAGTAAGAAGATGGAGACAATTAGCAAATCAGACTGAAAAGAATAATTTTTAAAATGTACCTGCAGTTCCCAGGAAAAACAAAGTCCAGATGAAATCCTTAGTTTGCAACATTGTAATCTGCTGGCTGGGAGGGATGTTCTTGCCGCGGTAAATTCTGTGCCCCCTCCCTTGCAGCGAGTGTGGACGGCGGCAGAGCAACAGACCTAGGGGCAGACAATTGCTAGGCTGAGTATGATTATTTTTGCAGAATTGTTTCCTACCAGCGGCTGCCGAGCTGCGTTCACGCGCAGAGCGGAGAATGAGTGACAGTCCCAGCCTCAGCACACTCGCAACTCTGAGATCCTTGCGCTGGCCCGGGTTCGCTTTGATGGAACTGGGGATGGGAGCGAGGGGCGGGGGGCGGGGGTGAGAACCTCACTGTGTCCTTCCACCACGCTGGCCACAAATAGTGCCGAACATCAAGGAGGTAAGAGAGACACGGGAGGCAGATGCGGCCGCCTGCAAAACGCGGCCTGGAGCTCTCTGCCGGATGAAGCGGGCTCTTTCACACGCAGTCTTCCAGGCAGACCTGGAATTTCTTTCTTTTTTTTTTTTCGCACTTCTTCCCCACGCCTCCGCGGTTGCTCTTGCCTTCCAGCCTTCTCTAATCAGGAGGCGGGACATTTTAATAACTAGTAAATAATAAAAAACAATCGTAGATTTGGTTAGGTTTTCAAAGTTGTCGAATCTCCATTTAGATCCTTGAAACACAAGGAAAGGCTAGGGCTTAATTTTTTTTTTTTAAGTGCAGGAAATTAGAAATTTGGAGATGGATGGGGTTTGCTGTTATGGCGTTTTGTTTTGGTTTTATTTGTTTGTTTGTTTATACTATGAAGTTTGCTCTCCCACAGAGAGGCAACAGCTCTCAGGGGAAAGAGGTGGGAGGCAACTTAAGTTAGAAGAAAACACAGATGTTTAGAAGGAATTTCCAGAAATAACCAAAGGAAAGTGTTTTCTTGTTTATAAACGCTGAAATCTGTGGTCTCAGATCACCAAGCCTTTTATGTAGGTGTTATGGTATAGGCGCGATGTTAAATATAATTTTCTTACAAGGGCATATAACCTCAGTTCTTAAAGATTAATGTAGAATATCAATGAGGTACCAACACAAAGGATTTCAATCGTACACCAGAAGAAGGTGGGGGAGGAGGGCAAAAATAAGTACGTTTCAGCACCTGAGCAAGGCTTGTTTAAGGAACAAAAGGTGAGAGAGAATCAGGAGCTCAAAGTGTTCTAGAGGTTGAAACAGCCTATTAGCCTGGCACAGAGAAACCCTCCTAGAGGAAGGCTGCCACGTTCCAAGCACCAATGCACCACCATTAGCATGTACTCTTTCTTTAAAGGTCAGGCTCTCCTCTGTTGTACCACTGTTTAAAAACCCATCCTCTGCTGGCCTGCCAGCAAGCCTCCATTACTGAAGAGGCTGGCATTTCCTAACCCTGTACTAGACCAAGCATGGCCATACCAACACGCTGTGACTCCTGACTTCCGGGACCCCTGAAGAATATTTCCACAAATCAAGCCTTTATAGCGCTTAGTTTTGTAACATTTATGTCATATCAATTATAAATAATTCATAAATACAGAAAAGAAAAAAAGAAGGAACTAAAATACCAAATCCCACAGATTCCGGAGGTACCCACAGATTTTTTCAGTCTTCTATGTGTGCATATGATTTTTATAATCGAGACAGTATAGTAGCAATTTGAATCCTGTTTATTTTCCCTGACATTTCATTATAAGCATTTCCCCAGGCTGTTAAAAATGTTTTTGAAATCTTTTTATTGCTATATAATATTTCTTCATATCAATGGTTATGGTCTCCTATGGTTGGATATTTAGATTGTTTTCAGAGTTTGATAATATAAGTAATCTTTTTTGAATAGCTTTCAATAAATATTTATTGAACACCATTGTGTTTAGCCCTGTGCTGGGTACAGTGGATTATACAGATTTTTTTAATGGTTGCCGTATTTAAGCATCTTTGGCTTCAGACATGAGCTTCTGTTAACATATGAAATTACCATATTATGTCTTATAAATTTATGTAGATAAATGTATTAGACTCTTTCCTAAAGAAGAGGTTTTGATAGCAGGAAGAAATGTCCTCAGGGGAAATTTAAAAAGTGCATGTTGGGATACCCAAAATAAAATGTTTTATTTCTAACTTTACCAAGAGTTAGAAACATACCTTTTTCTGTAAATTCTATCCTTATAGCCCATGTCAGTAGAATTAAAAAGTTCCTCACAATTTTTCTTTCCAAATATCTCTAATTTTAGCTTTTCAATGTAGGCAGGTGTGGAAATCCTATCTCACTTCAGAATGACTGAATTTATTCTCTGTCTCTCTCTCTCTCTCTCTCATCCCCCTCCCTCTCCCTCCAGCCCCTCTGTGCCCCATGTGGCTGTTAATCTCTGTTGTAATGACTCATTCTGAAATTCTACCCCACAGTCATTCCAGTCCACACTGTGTGTCCCTCCTATATTCTTTTAACAGGATCCATCACTCGTTTCCAGTTCTTCAGCTCTCCACTTGTCAAGGTCCACATCTGTAAGTTTTACTTGTCAATCCCCTCCTGAACCTTATTTTGAAATAGTATAAAACTGTGGCACTCCCCAGAGACAAAAACAGCATAACTTCAGAACTTTCTGAAGATTGGGGTCTAAAGCGGAGGAAGAAATCAAGGCTCCTTTCAATTAATCAACAAATACTTATTAAGTATCAACTAAGTGCCTGGCACTGCTCTAGACATTGGGGATATACCAGTGGATGAAATAGAATCTTGGCTTTCATGGGCTTCCATTCTTATAGGGAACATAGGAAGATATCTAGCATGCAGGTGGTGATATGTGCTAAGGAGAGCAATAAAGAGGGCACTAGGATAGGGAGTTCCAGGGTGAAGTAGAATTAGCATTTAGCTAGTGATTAACTAGGGAAGACCGCCTTGATTTGGGGGATATCTGATATATTCCTTCCCTTCCTTCCTTCCTTCCTTC